CATTCACTGCTATAGAAGTTTACCCAACTGTGACGACTTCTGCTGCTGAGAAAGCCGGAAATGTGAAAAAGGTGCATACACTGCATCATAGATATTATGTATACATATCTATGCACTGCATACTGTGTGTGAGAAAATAATATGTCAAACCGTATGTAACAATAAGCATATTTCGCCGATGATATCACTACGTCATGTATTCTTCAGCGACTGGAGTCCTGTTATGATCTCGGAAATAAATATTTTGAGTATAATTTTTAACATTTTTAATACAAATTTGTGTAAACTCACATGAAACTGCAAAAATACAATAACAAATACAAATCATAATTAATAATAAATTATATTTATTATAAGAATTAATGATTAAATAACAAAACTTAATATTATATAGGTTAGTATTAATATTTAATTGCTACACCAAATATGAACTATTAATAAATTATATCTTATAAAATATTTGAATATTTGTAATCCACTTTTTGCAATCTGATCAGATGTGTCAACTATGTGTGTACATAATTGTTAAATATCTAAATATGAATTATATTTTCAATAATTCGTTTTTAAATAAGTTCATAATAAAATATTTAATATTAAACTTGACTTATTTGTAATTTTTGCATACAGTCTGATCAAGTCAACAAGATTATAATAATGCTTTATTAATTATAATACTATTTTAATTATTAACAATATTATTATTATAATGAACATTAATTATTAAAATCATATATAATATCATATTATTCGTTTTTTTTTGTAATTTAAAATCCATTTTTGCAGTCTTGTGTGTGTGTGCGTTTATATGGTTGAATTAATATTATTAATTTATATTAATTTTATATAACTAAAACTATATAACTATATAAACTAATTATTAATATATTCATTAATATTAATATATGAAATAAAATTCATTCATATTTACTCTTTGCAATTTGAGCAAATGTGCCAAGAAGATATTAACATTAATATATGGATAAATAGCCTAGGCTATATATAAGCATGAAATAATAATAATAATAATAATTCATTAATATAATTTATTACTAATTATTAATAAATTTCACCAGTTCATTGACATTATTATCTTCTTGAACCATTTGTTTTGGATTGCAAATGCAAATAATATATCAGCATATTATATAAAATTAATAATAATTAATATTTATTATAAGAATAGTAGGCAGTATACAGTATTTATTGTGCTGTATGCTAGTATTATGAGCCAGCCACCTTAAAAATCATGATGGTGTTCATTTATCACTGGAAATACAACGTCAAGCTGAGCACATTGCATTGTGGGATGCAGTATTCACACAGTGTGCTCTGTTTTACACACTGTGCACAGTATGACAGAAATGCAGAAACAGTAAGAGTATGCTAGTATGCTATTTTGAACATATTCATGTAATGCTCCAATTATGGCATTTCTTAAATGGCGGAGTTCAGAAATAATAGTATGCTAATAGATGCGCTGACCTTCAAATGCAGGGAGTCTGAGCCATTAGCTGATTATAACTGTTGGTCTGAGTGAGAGCAGTTTGCACATTTGTGATACAATATTATGCAAAATGACAGCCATGCTGCCAGTTCATAGCGTGATATTGACTGCGAAGGGAACCTGTGGATGCAGACTGTTACTCACCGGATGACTGGCCTGCTATTATGAGTATTATAATATCTATCTAATACAAACCCTGAATGCCACGTGATCTAAAACTGTGGGGTTAGACGTCAGACTGAAGAATGTGACACAGGAGTTACTGTTGAATGTGGATTCGAAACCCTTATGAAAGCCTGCTATGTCTGGTTTGCTTTCCTTGTGGGGACTCTAGGTGTAATGGTTTTTATACTGTACAAACTATTCTATATTTCATCGCCCTGCACCAACCCTACACCTAAACCTACCGCTCACACAAAACTTTCTGCATTCATGTTAGTTGGTGTGCATTCAGGTTCACACACACACACACACACACACACACACACACACACACACACACACTATAATATACATTATTAGCATATGAACACAACAAATATGTAATGTAATTAGATGCTATTACTCATCTTACACATATGCATTGAACAATTAATCTTTCTCTATAGGAAAGCGTACTAATATCTTAGGCTATCTTGCCACCTTGTGGGCAATTTAGAAAGTGACAGAATTGGGCTTTTCTTCTAACTAGAAAATGGTTATATAGACAAAATGAGAACAATACGTGTTCTAAGGGCTATACAGAGTGATCATATAGGATTACGTTTCCATTTCTAACATTAAAAGGAGTTTAAACATATTTAAATATAAATAAATAAACAACACATTAAAATAATTACTGCATAATAAATAAAATATAACTAATCTATTAGTTATGCTACAAACGTATAAATTATTATAGAAGTATTATAAATAATTATATAAA